CTTGTAATTGCTTTCAAGGGGGAAATACCACTCATTCTTTGTGACTGACTGTCACAATACTCTGACTTAATCCCCTACAAAATGCCCAGCTCAATATAATTGTAAGAATTCAGGGCAGTATCTTTCTGTGGCAGTTTGAGCAGTAAACTTATTTGTTTGTATGTGAGGGACTGTTAGTTCTCAGAGCACAGAAGGTTTTATTAAGAAGATGACAACAATTTCTGATTTTCAGATACCCATGTTTTCAAATCCAAATGTTGTGGATTTCCAGTGCCCCGACATCATGTTCAGAAAATGGAGTAATACAATTCTCCATTTGGTGGCTCTTGAGAGCAGGATATTATTGTACTTCTATTTTGGTAGAAGTATTTATTTACTCAGTGTCTTTCATCTTCTACATTGACCTGTTCTGTAATGACCTATCTACCACTTTTTCCCATACATATTCTCACTGTGCACACCATCCTCCTTTCTAATTGTCTCTGGATGTGCTTGAAAGCATTCATACCTATTGCTGTTCTGCCTGGAGCATCCTTTCCGTGCATATTCCCCTGGCTGACTCCACTGGAAACTTTCAATTTTACCCAAAGGCCTATTGAAAATTATACTCCCTCCTGAATACTTTCTATACATTTTCTTCCTTTATATATTTTCCAGATCATTTATATCGTAAAACATCCCATTTTATTTATTTCTCTTATTACCTATTTTCCCACTTCTAGAATAAACATCCCATGAAGACAAAGATTTTTGTCTCTTTTCTGTACTGCTATATTCTCTTGCCTTAATGTAGTTACTCAGAAATCATTAAGTAAACAAACAACTTTTCCATGAGAAATATCCAGTTGAAATGACCAATATACTATGCTCTGGGTCTAGGAGAACTTGTTTCCAGAACGGGGATCAGTTTACCAGTGGAAACAGTAACAGTGTCAGTAAACACGGAGCTACAGCTGTTGCCTGATCATCTATCAGTCTGTGCTCCTTATATTGACAGAGCAGAGAAAGAGAGAGAAAATGAGTTCAATGTTGATGGGGTAAATATAAAGTTCCCTGATGACCGTGAGGAAAGACCATTCCTAAAGTTCTAGACGCTGTAGGAATCCAGAACATTGATCAGATACTCCCATGATCCATTGGGGCATCTTGTGGAATTCCCGTGCCCAGTTATAACTACCAATGCATAAGTAAAGCAGCAAGAGATTGGTAACCCAGGGCTCAGAATTTTTAGTAAAACATTAGGAAAGCCTCCTAGATGAGTAGAAGTGTTAGCAAAAAGAGAGGAAAATCTAGAATGGCTGGGGGTAGGGTGTACAGACCATGAGCACCAACTACATTAATGGTACTCTCACTATTCCTCTTCAAGTAAGTCTTCTTGGAAATTGTGACCAACCAAAATCTTGAATAAGCTTTGCCTGGATGGAGTGACCTTCAGTGAGACACAGACAGAGCTGAGGACAAAGACTGCTTCTGGTACACTATCAAAATCCTTTAGGGATGTGCAGCTTTCCTCCACGTGCTGTGAATGTTCTCTGATCACAGTCCACAGCTGCCCCCTTCTTTAGAGACTTACCTTCTGCTAAAGACAAGCCACTTCCCTAGAGAGGTTATTCCTTACCATGGGGAATAGGCAAGTAGCTAATGGACACAAGGGTAGACAAGGTCATCTATCTTGCCTCAAGGAGGGACTATCTCTGTGGAGCAATTCATGTTTCAGAGATTCCCCATAGGAGCAGATTGGGTGATTCTCCAGCTGAGACTCTATTTGTGCTTAGTTTTTATCTCCTGCCCTAGCTTGCTTTGCTTGCTCTCATTCTCCTGAGAGCACTCTTTCAATAAATCACGTAAATAAGAATTCCTGACTTGGCTCTGCTTCCAAATGCAAATTGTCTCTGAAAGAATACATTGTAATGACAGGCCTTCAAAATTCCCACAAATACAATTCTGATGAACATGAGCTTATAATTAAAAAAAAAGCCATAAAATAAATTAATTACCATGAGTGAAAGTCGCTAGGAAGGAAACACAAAGTCGTATCAGATGGAAATATATGTTATGTAGTAATACTTTTAAAAACATGAAGATGAAAACCTATCAAAAGTTTGCAGATTAGGAAGAAAAAAAGACATAATTTTGGTAATATATAATAAATAAAATCAAAACTTAATATGTGAATTAAATAGTAGATTAGACCCAAGGGAACACAGAATTAGTGTGGTAGAATAAAAATGTGAATAAATATCCCAGAATAGAATAAAGCACAGAGAGACTTGAAGGTAAAAAAAAAAAAAGTATATGTAAAATAAAGGTTGAAATACATAGAGAAAAGAGTGAAAAATCTGACATATACCTAGCTCCTAGCCAGGATTCTAGTTTAATAGAGACAGTGGTGGGTGAACAAACTACATTTCAAGAGATGGTGCCTATAGTTTTTCAGAGTTCATGAGAGACACCAATCCAGAGACTTGGGAAATCAAATAAATCCCAAATTGTGTATGTAAAAAGCAATTCACTAGTACATATATTTCATGGTTATTTGGAGCAAGACTGCCTAGATTGGAATCCCAGCTCCTAACTGGGCAACCTGGGACAAATTGCTTCACTTATCTTTGTCATAGTTTCTGATCTCTAAAAATGGTTTTAAAAATAATATCTATCACATAGATGGTTATGAGATTAAATGAGTTGACATCTTTAATGCTCTTTAGTGCTATTAAATTTCTAATATTCATCTTTATTACTTTTAGTTTGAATGCTCACCCAGGTGTTCTGGATCAGAAACTGATTTCCTACTAATTAACTCACAATAAATAGAAAGCGAGCTGGTCTGCCTTGCCCTAAGCCTTAACCCTGATGAAAGCCAAGCCAAATGTCATACATTAGTAGCCGAACTTTCTATAGATGACTGACAGAGAACAATGGATTCTTTTCATTTATATACAGGAGAGAGACAACCATTCCCCTTCCCCTCCTGAAAGGGAAGAATATTTTGCTCTGTTGAGATCCTAGGTTTTTACCTTAAACTTTTAGAATTTAACTACATCCTTCCACAGGCCAGATACACCAAACGGGTCTCCAAAGTCTGGGCTTTGTACCTAGGGAGATAGCAGCCCTGCCTTTCTTGGATGGTAAGCACACTAATAATCATTTTATAAACATTCCCTACAACTTACATATATACAACACTTATTATTTTATGCATAAAATATCTCAAAACAAAAAGGATATTTTGTGCAGAAAATATAAAGAAAAGAAAGAAAAAAGAACAAAAGGAAGAAAGATGGAAGAAAGAAAACTTTCATAAAACCTTCATCCAAAATATCAGAGGCAGCATGGAAATGTAAAAGCAAAACAACAGAAAATTCTATCTTCTATGATGTACCAGGTCTGGCGATTTGTTTTCTAACATGATGTGTAATTTCTTATGTTCAAGGACTAGTTTCTTGGCAAGAAGCGAGAAAAGATCTTAGTTTCAGAGTTAGCATAGAACATAACACAATTTAAACGTCTTAAAGTCGCTTTAACAATGATATGCAATATATATCGTGAACAGTTTTTATGAGAGATCCTCTAAGAGACCCCACCATTTGGCTTTGGACATGAGAAAGTATATTCATCATGAACACTTGCTGTGCCAGCCTGATGCCCACAATTCCTATCATTTCCCCACTCCTCCGAATTCTTCTTTCATAAGCTGGGAAGAGCCACTAAGGTGACCATCAGAAAAATTAGGATGGGGTGTGTTTTCTTGTTAAGTCCAAGGCAGGGCTTGGCCCTAATGGATTGTAGCTGTTTTAAAAGATGCGTATTTAATACTACTTTGACCTTTTGTCTGGTTTGTTTTTGCCCATTTGAGATCACAGGGACTGTCCTCTTCAACATCTTTTTAATTTTACACTGATAAAAAATATTAAAGAGAATTTAAAGTCTGATTTGTGGATCAGTATGTTGTATTAATGAAAAAGAAGAAAAATATATGTATATATATTCACACAAACAAAAATACACTGTGGGTAGAAAACAAGATAAAATATGAAGAAACTCTTCATAAAATATTTTTTTTCAGGACGTCTCTTCCTGATTTTAAATACAGGGGGAAGACATTAGTTTTATAAGCATCAGTCCCACACACCAAGTATTTTCTCTCCCTGGTGTTAATGTTCCATGTAATGCTAATTAAATGGACATGTGTAACTAATTCAAGTGTTACAGAATTCAAAGCAGTCTTAATTCCCCCTTCACCCAAAAATAGAATGAGAAACTAAGTTGTTAGTCTCTAGACTTGATAGTGGGAAGACAACTAAATTACATTTTACAGAAAAATCTAAATTGATTTCTCATGAATATTTGATTATGATAGGGACAGTTCAGAAATAGCCCCATTTTAATTCATATGGAAAAGTAGTTATTTATTATATTGAGTCGTACGGCCAAGAAAGAAGGCAGAAAGAATGTAATTGTGAGCTGTCAAGCTTAACACATATGTATAGAGCAAACATTCTCACTCTGTTGAGTGGCAGAATTGAGCCTGCTGAATTATAATACTATGGGCAGTGTCCAAATGGTGGTCAAAGTGGTACTCTGATGTAAAGAAACATGGCCCACAAAAAGCATGGAAAGAAAATTTACCTTTAGACACATTATTAAGATACATATCATTACAGATACTTTCTTTACCAGGATAAGTGCAATCTGAAACTTATCTTTATTACATGCCAAATCAACATTTTATTATCACTATCTAAAAAGGGAAGGAAAGGCAGAGGTATATTTCCATATTCTTTGAACACTATTTGCAGAAATGGCAGTAATCCTGAAAATTTTTGTTTCCCTATCAAAGCCATCTTAAAGATAACTCTGCATTATTACTTAAAGAAAATGGCCAGAGGTGAATCTATACCTACTAAAATTTAACAGACCAGTGGACACAAAACATAACAGTCTGTGTTAAGGGAAGTCATCATCCACAAAGAATTGAGAAAAAAAACAGAAAAGCTTACCTTTATGATGGTTTGCACTGGATACAACTTTCCCCCACAAGGTTACAATAAATATTATTATTAGCAGTTTTCCTTTTGTTGCTTTCTGTAAGTATCTCTTACTCATCCTGGAAATAAAAATAAAAAATCCTAAATATGTAAATTCATAGCTTTTCCATTATAATTGTGCTGCATTTAAAGCTCTCTTCTATACTTTAACCCCTTCAACTCCTGAAAACTGTATTTCTTATATTTAAAATGCTGTTCACTGTATACAAATGACGATCAGAGAAAATAAAGGTTTTTCAAAGTACCTTGATATGATGCAAGAAATAAGTAAAGCTCTGCCTCAGTCAGTGTTCGTCCACTTAACCATATTCTAAATCAGTCTGGAAATATTACCATATTTCTCTCCATATAAACATAGATTTAATTTATTAACAAAATCCAAGGCATGGTCATTTGAATAATCTTTAAATTAATGATTTATTATTTTACTTTTTTCCTAACAATTGCCAAGTCAAATGGACAGTGTAACAGTTTAGATGTAATTGCTTACATGAATTCCCGCACAGAATATGGTCACTTCAGACCTATTAATGTGCTTTTTAAAAATCACCTGGCTATCTACATTCCTTACTGCAAAGTAACCTCATCCTCCTAATGTGCACAACTCTGCTACAGGCGACACAATATTGTGAGATTCCACCTTGGTGTACATTCCCAAAAGTAAGAGAAAAATGAAAAAACAGAATAAAAAAATACCGAATCAACCTTTTCATGTTGAATTCATAAAAACAGGGAAAGCAAAAACTGTTATTAAAAAATAATACATATTTATAATAAAAGTTCAGAACTTACTTTCTCCAGCACTTTCTACAACATTCTTTCACTTGTTCTGAAAAACAAATTTGGCCTGTAGGTATATCCATCCCCATTTTGTAAATGAGGAAATTTGGAAATTTGCCTGGGCCACATGTAATGACCGAATAAAAATAGAAACCCAGAATGGTCTAATTCTAAAATTCTTACATTAATCACTAAGGGATAAGCAAAACTGATATGAAATTAAGTCCATCTCCATTTGTTTATGAGGGACATAACATATGTCTGTCACCCTGTGCCTTTCCAATTTAGATACTATACTGAACTCCATTGTGACTGCAGATTCTTGCCTGTCTTGCTTTTAAAGCAATTTCCTGGGGTCACTTCCTGATGTAGCCTGATTCCTTTCTCTCTTATATTTTCTAGGTTACCCATTTTTGTACATTTTTACCTCCAGAACATTCTATCTCCAAAAATGTGACTCAAAGGTAGAAGGGGCAGTTATACATTTTCAAAGAGGGGTCCTTGAGATTTTTTCATGTATGACTAAATGCATGAAAAAATAAATTATATATTATGTATTTTAATGTAGATGTATGTTAACAGGCCTTACCTTGTGGAGGTTGTAGGGAGTAATTCAAATGTTTAGAAGGCAATATTGTGTAAATCAAAACATGAACTTCTAAGTCAGAATGCCAGGGTTTGAGTCCAGACTTTACTGGATTCTAATTATGTGGCTTTTACCTGACTTTCCTTTGTTTGGATCTCCTGCTTCACTTTCTCCTGCAAATTTCTGGATCTCCTGCTGCAGTTTCTTCTACTGTAACCTGGGATAATGTATGTGAAATTCCTGGCCCACTGTCAAGCATGTACTAAGGATTCAATGGCTGGCTGTGATAGTTGAAAATATTGAGTAATTTGTATATGTTTGATCCTTGAGTGTTTGGGAGGGTAGTCCCATTCATGAGATGATTGGAGTTTCAGTAGCACCCACAGTTGTAGCCTCTCTGTGGACCTTAGCCTCATAACATGTCAAAGAAAATGTAAAAGATGATAGGTATTTGAGCTTTCAGATTAGACTGGGTTTTAAAACCAGGCTTCCTGCTGACTATATGACTTTGAACAAATTACTTAATTCAGATTATTTCACTGTCAGTAAGATGAAGATAATAATATCTACCCAACAGTGTTGTTGGTATGAAGATTAAATGAAATAGTCTGTGTAAAAGATTTAATACTATGCATAGCAAATAATAAATGCTCAGTAAATGCTAACTGTTACTATAATCATTAGTCAGTCAGACTAGCATTTTCTTAAATTCATTCTGTGAGGCACCAGATCCACAGATTGTTATTAAAGTATTAGTGAAAAATAAAGGAGGAAATATATTTGTAACATTCTGAGTTCAACCAATTTAACCAGATTTTTTTAACAAGAGGCATATTGCCAAATGTGCTTTTTTAGAAACATTTTCCAGAAACCTCCTCCACAATGTAACACAGCACACTAGTGTCCTCAGGAAGCCTCTTAGAGAAATATTGAGCTATAACAATAATCTGGTTTGGAATTTATTCTCTGTAAACCAAATGTCATTTTAAATCTCCCATTCTATTGCCTTTGTTTTCTCTCTCAGCACTCTTAGTATTAGTGTTAGGAGTATTCGCTTTCCTTCTACATTTTTTTCAACCATCCTGACTCTCCTCTGCATCTAATCCCGGCAACCTTATTGCACTGCATGTCCTATAACAGAATGAACAGCAAAACTCATCTGACAGGAAGAGCTGCTTAGCATAATTCTTGATAAGAGCTTCTCCCTAGCACATGGCCTCTACTACAAGGGCAATGACCCATCATTTTTCCATACCGCTGTGTACCCACCCAATAGGATGACAGAACCAACAGCTGGTCAAACTGATAACTAGACATATGGAAACGGAAACACCCACAAAGTTGCCAGGCTGTCAAATTAAAGAAAGAAAGGAGAATGCGGGTCAACATTTGGAAGGCTGTAAGAACCAGCATTTTCTCCTTTTCATAATACAATCCCTCCTGTCCAGTTTATTACCATGTTCCAGCCAATACTATCGCCAGAGAATCTCTTACATGTATATTTTTATACCTACTACTACTGCAACGCTGCAATTCAGACCACCAAATTTTCTCGCTGGCCACAGCATCCTAACTGGACATCTGCCATCAAATTACCCTCCTATGTCTGTCTTTTTCACAACCATATTTACAGTGTTTAGTAGGTGCCTGATAAATATTGTTGACTGAATGTAATTCACTCTCTATGCTATAGCCAAATGTCTCTATGAGCATAAATTGTCCTTGCTTAAAACCTTAACATGGATTCCCTTCTCTGTTCTGAACTGAAGGCCATCGTTCCTAGCAGGGTATAAAAATCCTGCAGCAGAATTTGTTTTTAAAGCTTTGATACTTTATGTCTCTAATCTCATTTTATGTCATTTTGTCCCATCTTGCTCTCTACATATACTCATAGTCTATTTTTAACCCTAGATAATTTCTCCAATGGCTTCCACTAAATCTTACCTCCATGTCACCTGAAATATGATAGCTATTCCCTCAATTCCCACCCACTCTTCAAAATGGGTAACTTCTACTCACTAGTCATGGGGCAAGTTAGAATTCCTCCTATAGGATTTATTCAAGACCATGTTGAGTGCCCTTCATTCTGCACAACAGTCACTTGCCATGCCATATTATAATCCACCTACTTATAGTCAACCTCTATTCTCATATAAGATTCCTAAAGACAGAAACTGTTCTCCATACATTTGTGAATCTGTAGGACTCATCCAAAAGTCCAGCTCAATAGCTGGTAAATAAGTACTTATTGAACGTTGGTGGTGCCTTACAGCCAAATATATTGCATAGCAGTCAACATGAGGAGGAGGAAGTATGTGTCACCTCTTTAGACAACAAATAGGAAGTGAAAAGAGTCGGGGGACTTGCAACAAGACACAGCAAACTGAAAAGGAAAAGAGAAAAATGAAATCCAATCTTGAATGTGTTTTAATCTGATTTTTAAATAACAGTCATGTTTGAATAAAGTGAAACATAATAGAGCTATCAAGGATTTTTGACAAAGGGGCAATACCAAAGAAAAACACCTAAAGGGAAAAAGCTGAATGTGCATTTCTTTTTTACAATGCATGACAGCACAGAAGGAGCGACATTCTCTTCTTTCTCTATTTGCTAACCACCAGGTCTCAGTATAAAATTTCCCACCAGAGAAATAAGGAACATGGTCCTGGGCTCCAACACAGTTTAGAACTGTCACATTCATTTGGGAAAATGGTAAAATTTAAGTGAATTTTGCAACCGCAATAACAGTGAAAAGAAACTGGAAACGGAAGGAAAATATGCATAGAAGAGGAGACCTTGAAATCGCTCCCAAGCAGCATCAGCTTGCAAGGAGCACAAGGGAAATTGAGAAACAGTAACCTTGGCAGTGAAAGATGTTGAAGTGAAAAGCTGTCAAAGTGGAGGACTGACAATTAAATCTCCTGGACTTTCTCCTACTGTTCTCTTCTGTTACATATTTCACTCATGTATGCTGAGGTTTAGATTTTTGGATTGTTTGAAACACTTCTCATCCCACTAATGTTAAAAGTATATTTAATTGTTAAAAATCAAGAAATAAAAAACTGTTATGCTATAAGAAAAATCATTTCTCCATGAAAACAGAAAGTAAGTGTAGCTAGTCTATAAACAAAAACCTGGAAGGAAAAAAGGGGGGGAATAAAGGAGATAGTATAAAGGAGATGTATATAAAAGATAAAATGGGGGATTAGAATCCAACCACCTGGACTCCCATTGAGCCTAAGACACTTCTGTGGAAACAGAGATCACATAAGAGAAAAGATATATTTTTAAGTCTTTTTAGGACAATTCTGTACATTGGTCTATATATCTAACAAACCTGGTGTTAACTAGCTACAATGGAATGAACCTTAACAGACAAATCTTGAAAAGAAATCCACTCTTAGGGCAAAATGCTCAGTGGCTTAGTCACGTGCCCTTTCTCCTCATAGGGACCGGAATGATTGTTATAAAATGTAAATCAAATCACATTACCCCACTGGCCCTATCCTTTGCTTAAAATCCTGGAATTTACCTATTCATTGCAATGAGAATAAAATATAGATCTCTTACTGGAGAAAAAGCCCAACATCATCATCCCTCTCAACCATTCTGATTTCATTTCACATCCCTGTTCCCCACATTCCATATGCTTCAGACACACTGGCCTTCACACTATCCCCTCTGCCACGCTGA